TTATAGAGGAAAGAAATAATGTGTTGGGAGTGGCACAAATAATTTGTGGCATCTTATTGAAGAACAGCTGATTGTTCTGTAAATAGTTTGAAATGGTTATTTAAAAAAGGGTAAAAGGTAAATTTATGCAAATAACTTTGTTTGCAAAACTTGTGCATAGGATTTTAAAATTGACAATTTATATTTACATTTAAAGTTATGAAATATGATTCATTAAACATGTTTGTGGTTGTTACAGTGAAAAAAAATATAACTTTTTCTACTCTGATTTTATGTTTTTTGTCTGATTTTAGATCAATTGTGTTAATACAGTATGTCAACATGAAAACATAACTGTAGATTCAGACACGTGAGGTTGTGCTGAAAAGGACGATACCAAACAAGGCAAAGTAATTAGTTTTTAGAGGTAAAATATAGAGAGAGAATCAAAAGTAGTTAAAAATGGGCAATTATACCCTGGACCCCAGAGGGTTAAACGTTTTTTTTTTAAGTAACGCAATAGTTACTTTTCAAGTAATTAATTACTTTTAGAATTTGTAACTCAGTTATTAACTCAGTTACTTTTTTGAAGAAGTAACTAGTAACTATAATTAATTACTTTTTCAAAGTAACTTGCCCAACACTGCTGATATGAAGCCGACACAGTGATGAAACAGACCTCCTGTGATACTGTGGAGAAAGACTACGAGCAGCAGCTGTGAGCAGCGTCACCTGCAGGTAGATGAGCTGATCTCAGTGCTGACACGTGTTGACACGTGCTAGTGTTTCTAAGACAAATGACTTTAGTCGTGAACACAAGAGACAGACAGGGGGCGTAACTGATGCCTGACCAGCTTCAAACTTTGTCCACCAACAGGATGGTGTTGGAGGATGGAGGATTCTGTTAATTATATCCCAGCTACAATTATCACAGAGACAAGCAACTTAATATAAAATGTTTTGCAATAACAAGTTTATATTCTGAAATAGATGTATCACATGAATGAATCATTAAGAGGTTAGAAATCCACCACTATCGCTGTACAAATATAGGAAGAAACAGACTCAGAGGAAGAGGGCGGGCTTTACTTGGTGTCAGTGACAGAAATGAAAAAAAGCTGAAATGAGTGAGAAGGACGATGAAGGAAACATCTGTGCTGTGTCTGCTCTGTAAGTAGAATCTCTGTGTTTGTTTGAATTCTTGTACTTTGACTGTCTGCTCTCCTGATAACTGATGATGGAGGAGAAGACATGAAA